GGATAATTTTGTAAAAAAACGTGCTCAAATTCTTCTAATTATGCTTGGTATGGTTTCAACAACGAAAGTTCCATGTAACCTCTACAGGGCTTTGCATTAGAGCATATAGAAACCTTTAATAGCCACCCAATCTATATTTTGTAAAATAATTATTGAAGGGCAGAAGACAAAAATCAATCTCTATGCTGCTACCTTGGCTGCAGCATAGAGATTTTACAATGTGGTTGTTTTAAAATATCCCTTAGCTCGTGTCTGTTATGAAATTGATATTGTTAACTGTTTTCTTTATTTACTTGAATTTACATACAAGCTAAAAAAAATTATATATGCTCAGCTTCTATCATTTATTATAAAACTGGGAACTTATAAAGCCAAAAAATGTTTCAAAAACAAAAATTTAACTTTTTAGTAATTACTATCCAAGAATTTCTAAAAATCATATATATATATATATATATATATATATTATATATATATATATATATATATATATATATATATATATATATATATATATATATATATATATATATATATATATACTAATAAAGATTCTGGGTTGCTCAAGACCCTTAAAAATCAGATGGGTCTATAATATTTTGAAAAAAAAGTTCTTTAAAAACATATCATGTTCTCAAAAGAAGTGGAATTTCATAAAAATTTCAAAAATTATAAAAAAAATTTATGGAACACAAATTTAAAAAAGTTTATTTAAAAAAACTATAAAAATATGTACTTTTTTATTTTTTTGTTAAAAAATGCTTTTAAGCCATAAAATAAAGATCTTTTTTTTTTTAAAGTATTAGGGACCCATCTGATGTTTAAGGGTCTTGAGCAACCCCTAAAATTTTTTTTTTTACTTTAAAAATTTTTTAAATTTAGTATTAATTTATTACATAGAACACATTTAGGGGGTATCATTTAGGTAGGTAAATTTAATATTTATTTGTTAATAATGTTTATCATACATGGATTGATTTTTGCTTATTTAGTAAAAGTAGGTGAAAGTGTTTCTACCTATATAACAAATTTTTTTTCTCAGCAAAAAAATCCACTTTATTTTGCAAAAACCTCCGTTTGCTTCGTTGCTGTCCATGCAGATATCTAATGTATATTTCATTTTAGTCAAAAGATTTTCCTCTGCAGAAGAAAACAGTAATGATAAATATTCTAATTATCATTAAAGATATTTAAATAATAAATAGATATTTAAAATATAAGAGTTGAATATTGTTAAATATACACAAATTAGATTTTTATAAATAGTGCTAAGAACATCAAACATTTTATTATATCAAATTTATTATTGTTTTTTGCTCAGAAATTAATTATGAAACTAACAATAACATTAAAAAACGTAAACACATATAAATGCTTTGGTATCAAATGCCTATAATAGCTACATAATAGCTATAATAGGTACATAAATAGTGAATGTGTTTTTTATTTCAGACAAAATACTTGAACGAAATGAAGTTAATAAGTTAGCACTAACATGGCTTTCATGAAGTGCGCAAGGAATTTTGAATTAAAAACAAAATAAACAGATTAGCTTGTAATTATTGCATAACTACAACAGTGTCCATCAATATGGGTCAGTGCAGTTATACCAGTTTTCATTGATTATTTAAACAAGTTCTGAATCTTTTTTGTGATTAAAGACTTCTACAAACGCTTGTTTTTACTTTATAAATACGCCTGAACTTTATAAAGAAGTAATATAAAGCAATATTCAGGATATTAGGCCTGATAGCAAAATATTTTAAAGTTAGATCAAGTTTTTATTGCCTAATTAAAAGAAAATTATCCCTGGCTAAAGAGAAATCAGTAAATAAAACCTTACTAATTGGAATTGTTCTAAACTTAGATAAAAGTTACTTATATAGTAAGAAAAAGTGTAAAAAAATCACCAGTGAGCAAACTGGTGAGTTTTTTTCATTTAAATCTTTTAGACCTTTTAAAGCAAATGTTACACAAATACTATATCACAACTTGTACTAGTAAAAACTTGAGAACTGTTGTCATACAATAATGTATTAAACAGTACAATGACAAATTATTTAAATAATAATGATGATAACATTCAATTAATTAAAATTTTAAAGGTATTTTTGATTACAAAATTATGTCGAAAAAAGAATAGCACATGATGATTTTCCTTTTTTTAGAAAAATAGTAGGGAAGACCAACTTACCTCCTTTATAGTAGGGAAGACCAACTTACCTCCTTTACAATTGGTAAAGGAGGTAAGTTGACCAATTGCATTAACTCCAGAGCCTTCCATCAGAAAACATTAGAAATTAAATGGAACCTTCCTAATTGATCATTTCTTCGAATGTAGTATTGTAAACAACTTGCACATTTTCATACAAGTCATTGCAATTTACATGTATTTTGGACAAAAACGTAACTTTTGGAACATGGCTTTGTTTTTACTTAACAAACTATCACTTTTTATAATTTACTTCTTTCTGCCAGTTTTTTGTAAATAGTTGCAATATTTCAGCATTTACATTTAAAAAAAGCCTGGGGATAGTTGGCAAATATTTCACAGGGCTAGTTGGCTTATATTAATCACTATTAAAAAACAAAAAAAAATTTTAAATTTAATTTTCATTTTTTTAGTTTCTAAAAATTGTTTTTATTTAAAAAAAAAAAAAAATTAATGGAAAGTTTTTTACCTAGAAACAAAATGAACTACTGTTTTGGCTAGTTATACAAACTATTATTTGCTAACAGCCCAAAGAAATTGCTTCTGGAAAAAAAGTGAACTACTCTTTTGGTAAAAGAGTAAAAACAGAGGCAATTATCACTGGTCTCCACTATATATTTGAGGCATTCATTATTGATAGGCCATAAAGGAAACTAACTTTTTGAAATTTGAATCAAAGAAAATTAGAGCAAAAGAATACTTTAACTGATTTGACAAATGATAATAAACTAGTTGTTAACCATTTTTCTTCTCCACAACTTCAATTTAAAGCGTCATTTTCATATCTTTCAGATTCATATCTTTAAAATAATAAACAAATAAGGCGATTTAAAATTATTAAAAAGTATGAAAATGATTTAGGTATTTCAAATTCAATAAATAATGGATCATATATTGTTAGTGGTCGCCAAAAACCATTCCAATTAAAACAATTGGCTTAAGTACTCAGGGTTCTGGATAACCTTGTTTACTTTTGTTTCAGTGTAAATCTAAGGCCAGCATTAGGAAAAAGATATTAAGAATCATTATTAAACTTTAGTAGAAGATTACTAAATAATGTTAGACATTATATTTCAACATGTAGGTCTTTCCCACAAAGATAAGGATATTGGATTTCTTTACTACTCATTTCAAAAGGAAGCACAGTAAAAAAGTTATGCAAAGTTAATCAAAATTATGCAATTATGCAATATTAAAAAATTATGTATTTGAAAAAAACAGAAGCTAGGGTCATATTTTTTAAAAATATTATTTTCATTCAACTAAAATTTTGATTCAATTTTTTAGATTGTACAATAAGAACTGGTAACTAACTTAAAAAGGAGATCAAGTATTCAATCAAAAAAAAAAAATCTATACAAAACATCTAGCTAATGAAACAAGAATAGACAGCGTTAATCATCATGGCATGAAAAGTTTAATAATTAAAATTTTAAAAAGTTGAATTTTGGTTAGATTATTATTTTTTTTATTAAGAGTGCCATTATACTTTTTAAAATTAATTTTATTCAAAACTTATACAATTTTCAATCTAATTTAATTTTATCAAAGTTAAACAATTTTCCAGTTATTATTTAACACACACAGATATATATTTCATTTTTCTGTAAAGGTGTTCAAACTTTTTGTATCAAATTTTGCTATTTTTATTATTGCCAACTCATGTAATTTAAAATGTTTTCTTGGATTTGTTAAAATCTTAACTAAAAATTTGATCAATAAGTGTAGTTCCCATTAATGTAATTTAATTAAATTTAAAAATTACATTTAATTTATTTAAACAAACTTTGAGTTAAGACTTTTACAGATGCAGAAAAATATTTAAAATTACATGATTTCATAATAATAAAAAATAGCAAAATTTTACACCAAAAGTTTAAACAGCTCTCAGCAAAATGAAAAGTTTAAACGGCTCTCTCTCTCTTTCTCTCTCTCTCAGCAAAATGAAAAATTTACATTAAAGAACTCAACCCACATATATACGCAAATATCTTTGACAACTTATCTTTGTATATAATATCATTGATGATGTCGTTCTGAAACAGGAATTGCAAGGACTAAGGTACATACATCAATGAAAGGTTTGGCTTTGGGGAGTATTTTGTCTAGATACGAAAAACTTTTATGGCAGAAAAAAACTTATTTTCATTGTTTGGATTTAAATAGGCATTTTTAAACTTCAACTGTGCAAAACATAAAAAAATCTAAATACACAAGAATAATATTTTAACGGTAATAAAGTAAATAACATCATAAAATGTGTAAACAACATACAACTTTGCACAATGCAAGACTTACATTTGATGTTGATTGTATTGGATGTATTTAATTTATATTTCAATTTGTTAACTAAATTTTGCATATTTATTAAATTTAATTTTGGCTACTTAAAAAAAAAAAAAAGGTCAAAAATGGTAGTTACAATGAAAAAAGACATGAGATTGAAAACAAATAAACTTTTGGGTCCAGAAAATCATTTCTAGTGAAACTTTGAAGTTATTACATTAGAGATTACATATTTCCCATTGTTGCATGTTATCATTGTTGTATGTTATAAAATTGTTGTATGTTATCATTGTTGTATGTTATCTTTGTTGCATGTTATCATTGTTGGATGTTATCATTGTTGTATGCTATCAATTTTGTATGTTATCATTGTCGTATGTTATAAAATTGTTGTATGTTATCATTGTTATATGTTATCATTGTTGTGTTTAAAACAAAAGTAGTTAACAAATTTTTCTCAACTTAAAAAAAAAGTAAATATATTTCAAACAAAAATAAAAACCTGTTGCACGGTATATGGTTGATCGCAACATTTCCACTTCAGTTTGCAATTCTGCTAATTTGAAATGAATTACTTGGTTACTAAGTAATGTTTTACCAAACGCTTTCCTCTGGTGACAATAGTTTGCTGTCTGTCTTATACATCGATCACATATTGTCAGCGCTAAAGAGCATAAGCTGTAAAATGGGTAAACTATTAACAAATGCTATAACTATTTTTTTTATTTATCATTATTATAAAGTGTGTGTGTATATCTAACCACTCTAAAGTCTGAAGATAAAAACATGCATAGTAAAATAAAATACATAAAGTTATGAATGGTATATATATATATATATATATATATATATATATATATATATATATATATATATATATATATATATATATATATATATAAAAATTTATATAAATATATAAATATATAAATAAATATATATATATATATATATATTATATATATATAAATTTATATAAATATATAAATAAATATATATATATATATATATATATATATATATATATATATATATATATATATATATATATATATATATATATATATATATATATATATATATATATATATATATATATATATATATACACACACACACACACAAGGGCTATTCTAGACCATTTTTGATAGTGTCAACTGTATTCGGGCGCCGCCCAAATTAAAAATTAAGGACTTTTTTTTTTAATGTTTTTATATAATATATATAATATATATATATATATATATATATATATATATATATATATATATATATATATATATATATATATATACATATATATATATATATATATATATACATATATATATATATATATATATATATATATATATATATATATATATATATATATATATTATATATATATATATATATATATATATATATATATATATATATATATATAATATATATATATATATATATATATATATATATATATATATATATATATATATATATATATATATCAGGGCCTATTTTAGGAAAAAATTTTAGGTGGTGGTACCCCCTCCTTCCGGCAAACATTAGCAGAAAATGGGCATTTTTTTACAAAAAAAAAACAATAGTTGCTATAAAAACGTTTAAAAAAAAAGTCCTTAATTTTTAATTTGGGCGGCGCCCAAATACAGTTGACACTATCAAAAATGGTCTAGAATAGCCCTTGTGTGTGTGTGTATATATATATATATATATATATATATATATATATATATATATATATAGTAGATGTATATATAGTAGATGTATTTTATTTTACTTGTTTCATAAAAAATTATATTCAAAGTTCTTTTTATCAAAACTCCTAACTTGTGAAGATATCTTCAAGTATGGCATGTAATTTGTGGAGATATCTTCAAGTATGGCATGTAACTTGTGGAGATATCTTCAAGTATGGCATGTAACTTGTGAAGATATCTTCAAGTATGGCATGTAATTTTTTTACAGTGAAAAAAAAAACAATGTTAAATCAAAATTTGAGTCATAAACTCAAAAGAGAAAATGAAATGTGAAGTTTTGCAGTTTAACTAGCTTTTTGAGAAAACTTTATAAATTTTTTTAAAAAGTAAAAAAAAAAAAAAAAGTATAAACAAAAGCTTCCAAATAAAAGGCATTGATCGTATTAAAACAAACACAAAAAAAGAGTATAAATGGTGCACAATAGCAAATCAAAATTAACAAATTAAAAAAAAACAAATCAGAAAATTAAAAAATCAAGAAAAGGGTTTTTTTTTACTCAAAAACTCTTCAGATGAAGTCTATGATATTGCAAATAATGAAATAAAAATAAAATTTTTGGAAATAAGAACAGTAAAAGATAAAAGCCGTTTATATAAAACAATAAATAGAAAAAAAATTAGGACATTAGAAAGCTTAAGACATCATACTGGTTTAAAAGAAGCTGAAAAAGCAACTTATTAAACTAAAATAGCCCTTATTAAACTTGATATAATTATCACATAGGAAAATACTAAATATAAATCAAATATAAGTATAAATCAATTTTATAATAAATTTTATTAAGACTTATAACAAAGTTAAGTCAGCAAAATCGAAAAAAAAAAAAAAATTAGGCAAAATTAGAAAAACTTAAAATTCCTAAATGAACTAAACAATAATGGTTTGCATAATGATGGTTTTGTTTTTTTCTTTATACAATATTTAAAAGGAGTAGGCAGGTGGCATTTTTATTCACATAAAGCTTAGCACAAATTACACAGTGTTTTTGAAGTTACGTGTAGGAAAATTTGCTCAAATTTTTATTCACATAAAGCTTAGCACAAATTACACAGTGTTTTTGAAGTTACGTGTAGGAAAATTTGCTCAAATTTTTATTCACATAAAGCTTAGCACAAATTACACAGTGTTTTTGAAGTTACGTGTAGGAAAATTTGCTCAAATTTTTATTCACATAAAGCTTAGCACAAATTACACAGTGTTTTTGAAGTTACGTGTAGGAAAATTTGCTCAAATTTTTATTCACATAAAGCTTAGCACAAATTACACAGTGTTTTTGAAGTTACATGTAGGAAAATTTGAGCTATTTTAATTTTTATTCACATAAAGCTGAAAAATTACCTAAAAAATTACCTAAGAGCAAAAGCAATTGGTTTTTTTATTCACCTAGTATAGATACTTTTGTTATAAAGTATATTAGATCCTTATTGAGCGCTTAAGAAATGATCTTAATTTCACATTAAAATTCACATTTGAAGAAACCAAATCCCTTTTAAGTGTATGCTTTTCTCATTGTTTTTTTGATATGAAAACTACATTTATGAACTTGAGGATTCTGGACCTATTTGCTCAAGACTTATGATAGTAGCTGATAAATGTTAAATTGCTAGACTTATGATAATAGCTGATAAGTGAAATAATTGATGGCTTCCATTCCTGTTTTAACTTTACTGAAGATTCAAGATTTTTTTTTTGTAATCATCTTTGCTTCCAACAAACCTGCAAGCAAACACTACTAGAGTTGTAAGTTATTGGAAAAGAAAAGATGAAGTTTATAGAGCAAGATAAAAATTGACATATGAATCAGGAAAGCAAGATGAAGGAAGCGAATTCCTAGAACTGATGCTCAAGGAAAAAAGATAGACGAATAAGAGTTTTTGGAGCACTTAGGATACAAGCAACTTAGCACTTAGGAAACATACACAGAAAGAAGATGAGACTTAATTGAATGACGAGTAACACGAGAATGAATTTTAGTAGATGGCACAAGAGAGGCTAGCTCTTTAGAGCAGTGCCCATTTTAGTATTTGTAGAAAAGAGAAAGAGAAGCAACATTACGACAATATGATAATGGTTAGAGGTTGGATGAAAGAGTCAATGCGTTACAATGCGTTTTTGCACCTTGTCTAAAAAAGTACATCATTGGAAGATCATAAAGATCGAGAAAATACTTCTTGTGAAGCATAAAGTTAACAAACCTTTTTCAGAACTTAAACAGTTTAAAAGTAGGCTGCTAAGCAACTGACTCCAGCAGAAAACCTTAGTCTTATATATGAGGAAAAGGCTTTGAGGAAACAGAAGTTTTCTTTTCCAGCAACAGTGAACTTGACAGCAGTATTGATATTGTAGGATAGAATGATTTTCATGAGGCTCTGTGGGCAGAGAATGAGGCCCTAAACAATGCTGAAACCTAATATGTTTTTTTCATTGAATATATATATATATTTTTTAGATTTTTATATTTATGCTGAAAGTACATGGAAGGATAAAAAAAGAATATAAAATCCTTCCCCCTTTCTGGATAAATAAGAATGAGAAAGTCTACAGCCCCCCCTCCCCTCTAACACCTAAAAGTTTGTGAATTTTCCTAAGCATTTAATATTTCATTACTAAATTCCAATAAGTACGTTACTACTACTAATGAGAACTACTATTGAGTGGAGAGGTCTGGCACCCCTTGGGGGAGGGGGCTGAAGATCTCTGCCACAAGATACAGAAATGCATATTTCAAATAGGAAATCTATATCCTTAAGGAGGTTGCAAACAAAATTTTAGGTTGCTATGATTGTTGCATAATATTGCCCCAAAATCTGTATGGTTTTTGTGATTGATTGATTGACCTCTGTTTCCTCACGTAACTTTAAAAAAATAGTTTGGAACAATATGAAGCAATAAGCTAGGAGCTTGACTTTTTCTACACATCATCTGTACGTGATCAAATATAAAATATGTCATATACATGAGTATATTACACTTAAGACTCCAAATATTTGGCAATGTAAAAATTTCAAAATTTATAAAAAATGTTGTCTACTTGCGCAAGAAAAGTTATTTTTTCAAAAAATTAAAATTATATCTTGAAATCACTTTAAATTTCTTTTTGATATGTATGTAGCTTTTTAGCTTGCATACATATCAAAAAGAAAAAATTGTTGAAAAATGAACACCCCATATATATATATATATATATATATATATATATATATATATACACACATATAAACACACACACATTTATGATACTTTTTTTATTTTGAAGGTTTTCTCAGGATTTCATGCAATGATTAAAAAGATTCACAGAAACGATATTCAGGTGACAGATATTCAGATACATAGGTGAAAACCATTCAACAACAGTATTTATAATGTTGGTCATGATCTGTTTGCACCTTTAATTTCAATGGCTTTGGCTAAAGAAACACTAGCTTTATGTTGCCAGCAGTACTTGCACTGCAATAGTCTGCATCTCTGATGAGCACTAAAGGACATCCACCGACATTATGTCTCATCAGAGATGCAGACTATTGCAGTGCAAGTACTGCTTAGACAAACAAAAAATAAACAAACAATAAAACCATTTTTGAAAGTCGAAGAGTAAATTTTAAAATTTATGATTTGTATTTGAATTTTTGTTTTTTTATTGGCATGGTAACTAATTGCAACTTTTTTAAAGATTAAAGCAAACTTAAATTTTAAGAATTTAAGTAAGTCTAAAAAAAAGTGAAAATCATGATTTAAATATTAAAAAATATAAATACTAAATGAAATATAAAAACATGAAATAAATAAAAATAATTACTGAATAAATATACAAACTAATTAATTTTAAAAAGCTTTACACCATACCACTAACAGAACCAACAAGACGTTCATCTTGAAATTGCTTCATTTGATAAACAAATCCGAGCCCTTCTTCACCAATCCGATACTTTTGAGGAACAACAACATCTTCAAAAAATATTTGAACAGTATCGGAACTATGCATTCCAAGTTTTTTCATTCGTGGCTGCACAACAATACCCTTGGTCTTCATTGGTACACAAATAAGACTCTTATTCAGGTGTGGGTTTTTACCTTCACTTGTGTTGGCTAACAGACACATCCAATCTGCCTGAGCACCATTTGTTGTCCACATTTTTCCACCATTTATCACATAATCATCTAAGTTTTACAACAATAGATTCTTTAGACTAATTTGAAAAATAATTAATCAAAAAAATATTATATCTCCACTAAATCATATCTCAACTATAAATGAGTAAAAATACGCAGGACTAAAAAAAAGTACATTTGTAGACCAAATTATTAGCATCTGTGGAACATAAATTATTAATTTAGCCACTTTAAACCTATTTTCTGCTTGAGATGCATAAAGTTGCCTCATTTACTATAAAATAAAAAATAAGATAAAATAAGAAAAAATAAAAACCTCCTCTTTTAACAGCTGTTGTTTTAATAGCAGAAACATCTGAACCAGCTCCAACCTCACTAACACCAAGACATCCAACAATGTCACCAGCAATATTTGGTGCAAGGAACAATTTTTTAAGTTCATCTGACCCAAAGTTTGTAAGCGCAGGAGTGCACATGTCTGCCTGAACACCAATTGCCATAGGCAGAGCTCCACATGGAATATTACCTATTAATATATTACAATATTATATAAAATGTTTACTGTTAAATTAAAATACAAATAACCTATACTACAAAAGAAATTATCAATATACATGCTACATAAATGTTATATTTATAAAAATGCGTAAATTCTTTCTATTATGAGATAAAATTAGGATACATATTAGGTCTAATTTAAGAAGGAATGTGAAATACACTTGGAAACAGATTATTTAAGATTTATGTGTACCATAAACAATGCTTGCTAACTTAGTAACGAGAGTATAATAAAAAAGAGTATAAAAACACAATTATCTCAATAAATTGGGAGAGAGGAACTATTACTTAGTTACTTGATTTTAAATAAAATGTTTCTGATAAAAGTTGTTTAATTAAAGTTTAGTAAATAGAATATTGTTAAAAAAATATATTTATATAATTGTTATACTAATATTTATAATTGAGTTTTTTCCATTAAATAAAATACCAATCTTCACAAAAAGCTTGTTTTTTAAATATAACTTACATCATTTTGTTTCAATTAGTTTCTTTTTTGTAAAAACAATAAATGGAAAGTTTTATTGTAATAGCAGAAATTTCATTAGATCAAGAAATACTAAAAATTTGAATCATTCTTTAATTAACCTCATTCATCGTGATAATAAAATATGTTTTATGCTCTTAATATTTATAATAAATAATATAATATAAACATCTTATACTTTTAATATTTTAAACTATATTAAACAACAATAAAACAACATAGTAAAGTTATTTTGAATGAAAACAAGTTTTTTATATTGATAAAACAACCTTGCAGTACTATTATATTGTTGTTTTAAATAGCTTTTTACAATGAAAATTTAATACGCTTTTAAATTTTTTATTGTCAATATGAGCAGTATAACTTATAACTTACAGCGTAATTTTATTTAGTTGCTAATTCAAAAACAATTATAATAAAAGTTTATAAGGATTTTAACAAAACCTTTTCAGCAAAAACTTTAAAGAAATTAAATTTAATTAACTATAAAATTAAAAATGTTTAACAAATAAACTTTAATACTTTATAAGACCTATTACTGTTTTAAAAACAAGAAAACATTAAATACAAATTTATTTTAAACAATTTCAATTTAATAAAAATTAAAAATAAAAAATAAAAAATTTATTCATCAAATAATAAATAATAAAAAATAAATGACAGCTACCCTTGTGTGCTTTATACACGGGAGCTAACATTTATTAATTTTTAAAAATTTTCCTATACACCCCAAGATTTTTAAGAATCGCCCCCCTCCACCCTTATCAATTTTTACTTGTTATCAACAAAAAAAACTATATCTCAAAACTTAAAAAAAAATCTGAGTAAACGGCAGGCCTTTTTAAAATAAAAAATGCTTAATGCAATAGCCTAATATGAATTTGATGTCATAAAATCCCATTTATTTTTTTTATTTTTTAAAGATAGTAATTTTTTAAAACTACTACAATAATATTAATTAACGCAAAACAAGTTAAATGTTATTTAACTTCCATTTTATTATTACTATAAGGGAATGTTTATTTTCTTTTTTTTTTCTTTTTAATATTAAATAATTAAATTTAATACTACGTTTTAAAAAAATGTTTCATATTAACAAACTACTATATTTTCTCAAAATTTACATAAATGAATTAAAATATGTTAAATTTTAAATTTTTTAAATGATTGTTTCTTAAATTTCTAATTGCGGCTTTGCAACTACAAACAATTTTTTATTTTGAAAAAATTAGAGAGTAACAAATAAAAAAATTACATTAACTTATTTATTTTATTTATTAAAAGTTTATTATTTTATTGCGGCTAAAAAAATTACATTAATTTATTTACTTTATTTATTAAAAATTTATTATTTTATTATTAAAATTATATCGCTGTATACATCATCTATTAAAAAATCGACGCTGCGATTTAACTTGAGTTATAAAAATTAAGTTTAACTTACATGTTGTGCAAATTTTTAATTCAGCTGTTTATCTAAAATTTAATTTTGAATAAAAATAAAAAAATATTTACGGAAGAAAAACCGAAAAAACAATTGCGATAAAAATGAGCTAATTTTTTTTTAAGAACAATTAAAATTATTTAGTAATATTTTTATTAAATTAGTTTTAAATTAAAACATATTTTTTATCAGAATTTAATTATATTATATTTGCTTCAAGCTTAAAGTATTAGCATTTTTCGAGCAAAAAAGTCAATCATTACAATAAAATAAAAATAGAATAAAAATAGATTTTTAATTTTATTTGAGTTTTTTTCATTAATAAATAGCGCTTATATTTAACATAAATGTCATTCAAACTTTTGTAACAAATATTCTTACATAAATGTCATCCAAAAGTTAATGTGATTTTTTTAAAATCTTCTTTTATCTAACCGCATATAGAATAATTTAAAAGTTAAAAAATGATAAAAGTCATTTTACCAAACCACGTTTACTGCTTATATAAAATCGCTTTAGGCGTACCTAAATTGCTCTCCTTTAAAACAAGGCCTGAAAATATCAGTCACTGGTAAGAATAAAATCTTTAATTGTAACAGAGCTTCAGCTCATTAGCCTATAAAAAATCTCGATTTGTCAAAAACTAGCTTTTGTTTCATTCCTCACCATAGCATAAAATAAAAATAATAAATAAAGGTATTAAATCCTATTGAAGTAATAAAAATCTGTTAAAAAAAGCGCTCTTAATATGACTGCAAGCCATACTAGAATTAAATTGTTTTTTGCGAGTTCTGTAAAAAATTTTCATCCACCCTTTTATTATTTTATTACCTTATTTATTAGATTTGTACTAAAATTTCCACATAAACCTTTTATTTCTCCTTGCATTTGGCACACGAGAGTACTTAATCCAACATAGTAATATTAAAACAGTAACAAAGAAAAGAAATAAAGAATAAATAAAAACTAAGTTAGTTAGTTAGTAGTAAAACCTGTAACTGACAGAGCCACTGAGTGTGTTAAAGCTGATGACTGAAGGCGATTTTACAACTTCTTCTGGCAGAGAGTTCCATAAATTTGCTACTCGATTGAAGAAGTTTTCTCTGTGCTCAAGTTTTCTCTGTGCTTATGTTCATTTCCTTGAATTATTTAAAGCAGTGATCTCTCATATGATTGTTAACAATTGGAAAACAAATGCCTTTTTTAAATTTGTCAATATTAATCATAATTTCATACATTTGTATTAGATCTCCTCTTTGACTCCTTTACACTAGTGTAGTTAGGTTTGATTCTTTGAGTCTTTTTGTGAAGGAAAAACTTTTGATTGATGATACTAGTTTAATAGCTTTGTGCTGGATTCTTTTAATATAGTCACAATCAGATTTAAGAAATGGAGACCATACCGGAACTGCAAACTGGCTGAATAAAAGTAATAAAAAGCAAATGAAGTAATAGAAATAATAGAAACAAACAAATGATTTTTTGATATGATCAAGCATTTGATTTGCTTTGTTAGAAGCATTACTCACTTGATTTTTCCAAATTTAGTTTTGTATCAAAAAGCAATCCAAGATCTCTTTCTGTATCTGACTCCGCTAATTGAATACCGTTTAAATTGTAAAAAAAATATATATATAAACTTTGCCTTGTGTATAAAAACATATTTTTTTGAAGTTTTTTTTTAAAGTGCTAGTTTTATTTTTAATTTCATTACCCACAAAACAAAGTGATATTGACACCAATAATAAATGCTGATTAGATAAAAATATTTTTGAGTGGAAAAAATATTTAGTATTATATTATAACAATAAATAAATAATAATTATCATTTATCATTTCAAATGATAGTTACTTTTAGTAATTTTTGAACTCTAGAACTACAGTTAAAATCTTATATTACAACTATAATTTTTTTCATCTTCCAATCTTTGAACAAACTCAATTGTAATATTTGGTGTTTTCATCATCCTTCAAAAAGCATTTGTACACAGTTGACAAGTATTACAGTATAGGAGAAGTAACAAATTCATGGTTTAAATTATTTCTCTATAATAGAAATCAACTCGTTTCTATCAATGGAAAAAACTGATAGTTGTGAAATTAATGTTGGTGCACCTCAAAGGTCTGTACTGGTACCATTGGGTGGGAAATGCAAAGCAAAGAAAATTACTCTCAGTTTTCGCATTTTTTATTGTTTTATGTACTTCTGCAAAGTTAAAATAATTTCCTTGTTTCAGGAAAAATTATTGCGGAAGGAGAGTGTTGCATTTACTATCGCAACAAGATTAATAAAGATAGGAACGGATATGAAACACTTACAAAATGCGTAACGAAAAGAACTGTAAACATGTTAAAAGAAAACGCTTTAAGTAAAACTGACATCCCACAACTCATGGCTAGTATATCGAGCACAGAATGGCAAACCATAATTTCCTTAAAGTTATATTATCGTCGGTCTTGTTACCTTAATTATACAAGACCCCAAAAAATTCCTTCTTTTTAACAGAAGATGCAATTATGCGTTTGCTCTATGTGAAACTACACGTATTAGACAATTTAGAGATTATTCATGCAAGCGAACAATTTGAGTTTTAAGAGGAAAACTGCACAGATAGAACAAAGATTCCAGATAAAAGTATTTTGCAGGATGCTGTAGATGCAGAATTTGGCGGGGTTATTTTTGGCGGGGTTAACAAAATAATTTTAAGAAAAAGAGAAAGATACTTTAAAATAATTGAGAAAGAGTAGCCTCTTTACCTAAAGCATAATCAAAAAGAACCAGATCACCTACATCAAACAAACGTGTTATCAAAAGAAAATATGTTACTGGTAGTTTCAGAGGAGCTGGATTTCTTTTGGATCTTACTATATCATTTTTCTAATGATATCCCAAGTTGGTCTGGGTTTAAGTACCTAATTACACCTAAAAGAGTACCAGAAGATATCTATACTGTTAGCTATCTTCCTGATAATAACTCATCACCTACAAACTTGAGCACAGTGGTTGAAGTTCTGCTCTAGTCCAAAGCTAAAGCCG